GCTGCTGCTGCTGCAGCAGCTGCTGCTGTTGCTGCTGCTTCTGAGCTGTATATACACCTTATCTCATGCACGAATCCAAACAAAAACCTAAGGGGGCCCCGAGGGGGCCCCCTGGGGGCCCCCCCAGGGATGAAGTCAGCGGTTTCTTCGTAGTACTAGGAACGTATGAAGGAGGAGTTGCCGGCTATAGAATAAACCCTGCTGCTGCTGCTGCTGCTAGGCAGCAGCAGCAGCAGCAGCAACAACAACAACAACAACAGGAAGAAGGATATTCTCGAGTGTTTGCTGTTAATGCACATCGCGTAGGTTGAGTGTTTCTTCTTTCTTGAACTTGTTTGTTGCCTCTAATTAAAAGCAATTCATCTTATACTTCTCCTCAGGGTTAAGGGTCTAGAGTTTAGGGTTTAGGGTTTAGGGTTTAGGGTTTGCGTTGCAGGGCGCTGTTTCTTCTTTGTGTTTTGTTGGCTCCACCCTCATCTCAGGCGGAACGGACGAGAGCCTGAAGTAAATCCTTTTAAGGGTTTAGGGTTGAGGGTTTAGGGTTTAGGGTTTAGGGTTTAGACAGCACGTGGGTGATTTAGGCATCAGCGTGTGGGGCTTGGTTCATAGTTAAGGGTTTAGGGTTTAGGGTTTAGGGTTTAGACAGGAAGTAGACGATTGAGGCATCAGGGTGTGGGGTTTTGTTCAGCGTTCAACGTTAAGGGTCTAGGGTTTAGGGTTTAGGGTTTAGGGTTTGTGTGCAGGTTTTATGATTTGAGCGCAATGAAGGAGAAGGGTTTGATGATGCTCAGCTCAGTAGGCTCAGCTGTATGTCTGTCTGCATGCAGTTCTGAGTATTTTCTTTTATTGTCTTCGTCTCTTTGTTTATATTTAATTAGAGAGCGGGGCTTGCTGCACATGCAAACCCTAAACCTCAAACCCTCAGCAGCAGCAGCAGCACGAGCAGCAGCTGGAGCAGCAGCAGCAGCAGCAGCAGCAGCAAACCCTCGCTGCCAAACCCTAACGACTAGAAACCCCTCTATTCTGCTGTCTGTACACCCTACAAACAAAGCAGCAATTTGCGTCTCCGGAGATAATTTGCTGCGTTTAATTTCAATACCTAAACTCAAACAAACCTCGACCTTTCATTTCCACGAAGGTAAGCCCCCAAACCCTAAACCCTAAACCCTAAACCCTAAACCCTTAACCCTTAATTGTGAGCCCATAGACCCTAAACCCTAAACCCTAAATTTTGAAAACGACAAGTATGGAAAATGCAATGAACGTGAGGCTAAGAAGAAAAAAAGAATAAACCCTAAACCCTTAAACAAAATATTACTCAGACTGTCGGCGGGCGCTTATTGATGAGGGTTTAGGGTTTAGGGTTTAGGGTTTAGGGTTTAGGGTATAGGGTTGATGGCTTGGAGTTTAGGGTTGAGGGTTAGGGTTGCGGGTTTGAGGGCTAGGGTTGAGGGTTTAAGGCCTAGGGTTTAGGGTTTAGGGTCTAGGGTTTAGGGTTTAGGGTTTAGGGTTTAGGGTTTAGGGTTTAGGGTTTAGGGTTTAGGGTTTGAGGGAGAAGGGCTCCTTAGCCACCGTCTCTGAAGATGCAAGAGAAGGTCTAGGGTTTAGAGTTTAGTGTGTGTGCAGATGTGGTTAGCGTGCGTTGGTCTCCGTGCGGTTTATATTTTGGGGTTTTGTTTGACGGATGTCTGCTAATAAAAAGCATAAAAGAAGAAAGAGAAGTATATATTGATAAAGAAGAGAGAGAGAAACAATTAAATAATTATATATCTCAACCTAGCTCAAGATGTATGCACAAACAACACCAAATAAAATATATTTTAATCAATTAATAAACAAATAAATAAAATACATAAAACAAAGAAAGACAAACATAAAAAAACAGAGACAGAGAGAGATAAAAAGATATATATATATATATATGTATATTCATATACACAAATACATATATATATTTATATATTTATATATTTATATTTCTACTTATATAGTCATATATATATATATAGAGAGAGAGAGAGAGACAAACAAAGACAGAGAAAGAGAGACATAAAAAGAGACAGAAAGAGAGAGAGAGACTACACACAAGAATAATATAATTATTTTTATCTACTTCTTTTCATAATGCTTGCTAATATATGTCTTTAATACAAATCTAAATTTAAATATAAATAAATATATATATATATAATATATACATACACATATATATATGCATATATATGTATATCTACGCATACAGCTCTGTATATATATATATATATATATATATATATATATATGTCTCTCTCTCTCTCTCT